GAAGATAATCAAAAATTAAAAGAATCTAAGCGAGAATATAAAGAAAAGTTGTTGGAAAAAGATATGGAGATACAGGAGCTTAAGGTTACGGTAGCATCTAATCATTCATTGGTTGTACGGCTCGAAGAAGATAAAGCTTCATTGGAAAGGAAGGTGAGTGACTTGAAGACAGAGCGAAAGCAATTAGAGAATAGGATCAAGGACTACGAGAATAAGTTTCATGAAGCTGATAGACGATACCGAGCCAAAGCATTGGCTAATGAGGAAGATTTAAAACACCTTAAACAAGAAACTGAAAAATATGAAAAGTGGGCACAAAAAGTTGGGAGCGAGAAAGTTCGATATAAAAGATCATTAAACTTTATGGTCATTGTATGTAGTTTACTTGTGTGCGTGATCTTTTATATTCTCACGTAAGTTTACATTTACTATTAAACAAAAAATATTTTTCTTTTAATGTGGTTATTTAATGATTATTTAATGATTATTTAATTGGTCTTCGATTTTCGATACTATTATAATTAGTGCTCCCTTAGATGATGGAATTCTTTTTTATCAATACCTTCTTCCATATTAATATTGGGATACACTTGTATGTAAAAAAAAAAAAAGTGTTGAAAGTATTAGTACTGCATTCGAGAAATTAGCAAAATAATTAGCCGTTACAAAAGCTTTTAGAAATGCTATTCAAAAATTTAATTTCATATTAATAATGAAAGTAAAGTGCATTATCAAAAACTTTAAATGATTAATCTTTGATTAGTTTACGTATTTGCTGTTTTGTGAATTTTTTAAAATCTTAAACGGTAATGCACCTTTCTAAGTGCACCCTCTGTAAGTGCATGCCCTCTCTAAATGCACGCTCAGATTCTGGCCCAAATATATACTTGACCTCTCTATAAATGCATTTTTCTTCTTATTATCTAAATGCACGTTGTTCAAGTGTGGTTCCAAGGGCCATGTACTCAGAGAGGTTTGACTGTATTTTAATAAAGGATGTTTGATACGTAAGTTGCATTACCTTAATTCTAAAATTATCATTTAGCATTCATTTATATCGTTCATATCAATTTGCCCATCGTACAATAATCTCAAATTAGCCAATCATATTTGTGATTTGCAATATCGATATAATTATGAATGGGTTGCCAAACTACCTTTTTCTATTTCGAACAATGTGGTTGTCTCTACTGCTATGTCTCTCTATCTTTTTCATTTTACTAATCATAAGGCTGTATCAGATATTACCCGATCGACTTTCAAGCTTATCAAAAACAACAATCCACAAAAAATCACATCCTTTTAAAACTTGTATTGTTCTTGGATCAGGTATATGGATATTATGCTTAGAAAGTCTAATATATAGTATAATAAACTTCAATTATAATTAATTATTATAAATATTATAGTGATAAAATTTTATATATAAGGCCATACAAAGTTAATTTTTTGGTTCTCATAACATAAAATTTGAAAAATGATCCGGTAACCCGGCTTTTAATTTTATTTTCAAAAAATTATATATATATATTAAAAGTATATAAAAATTTTTATAGACTTCTAAAAAAACTTCACCCGGATAGTAAATATAGTCAAAAAATTTTTTAAGAATTTGCGGAATTTGACCTGGCCGGGTTATGGGAACCAATTTATTAAGTTTGTATGGCCTAATAATGCCAAATTTTTAAAATATTATTATAAAATAATATCATATATATATTTATATATATATTGACCGCTAAAATCATAACATTGCGCTTTTTGTTAATGATTTTATTTATACTAAAAAGGTGGTCATACAATGGAAATGATACAACTTTTACGAGAAGTCGACTTCAGTTCATTATATCGACCGCGAATATATATAGTAGCCCAAGGTGATCATTTGAGCTCTGATAAAATAAGAGCGTTTGAAAGGCATAAAGAAGGAACAGAAAATGTCGATGTATGTGATTTTTACTTTATTTTCCATTTAACAATATTAATTTTAATTTTTCAGAACTTTCAGAATTAAATTATGATTTATTGAATAAAAATTGACATATATTAATTACTAATGAATAGTAAATTAAATATTAATCAAAAAAAATATATTTAATACAATTATAAATGCAATTATTCTAACAATATTAATTACCTTGACTTAATTTTCATCCCAAAAAGTTCCTGATTAAAATTATTCCTCGGAGTCGTAATGTTGGTCAATCATGGCTATCGACTCCTTTTAGCGTTTTTAGTGCATTATTTGCATGCATTAAAATCATATTGCTTGATTTACCTGACTTGGTAATTAAAATTCTTACTATTTTCTGTATGTTACTTATGCTAACTTGTAATATATTTCTTTACAGATAATATGTAATGGGCCTGGAAGCTGTATTCCTGTTTGCGTAATATCTTACATCCCACGAGTAAGAATATGTACATTCGTTTATTATATCTCAACACTTTATTAAATTAACTTTTAAATTTTTAATTTCATTCTCCCTTTTTTTAGATACTTGGAATAAAATGGATCAAGTTAATATACGTAGAATCTTTTGCTCGTGTTCGCACATTGTCATTATCTGGAAAATTATTATTAAGATTTGTCGATAGATTTATTGTTCAATGGCCGTATCTTGAACAAAAATATCCACAGGCCGAATATAGAGGAATGCTGGTATAAGAGTATGTTCTTAGATGCATACTTTTATACTATACATATCCTGTGGATATTTTTGTTGGTAAATTTTGAATAAAAATGCATCAAAGGTTAAATTTGGATATTTTACAATAGTTATCATCTTGAAGATAAGTGAAGTGGACCTTTTTTTTACAGTGGCAACTATAAATAATAATGTAAAAATTTTTGTTAGAGATTGTACTATTTTATGCAATTTTTCTGTTCTTGGATTATCTTTTTTTTGTGAATAGACGTATAGGAATCCTAAACTATTAATAGATCAAAATTTTCACAGACACAGGCTTTATTTATATAGCATGTTGCACTATTTTGGCTCGTTTTAAACAACACAATTATAAAGCCAAAAATCTTTTACACATGGGTTAGGTGCTAAGTAGTGGTTGGACACGTGTTAATTCGCGATACGAATTAAACTCGAATACTCGAATCATTTGATCAAATTAATTTGCTATTTAAAAAGGCACATGCATTTCATTTTCCGATTGTCAAAGAAAAGCTTATTGTTAAATTTGATTAATATCTGTAACAATTGTGTAATATATTTGACTCGCGAGTTAATTCAAATCATAACAAATTCGAGTTTTTGAGCAACGAGTTGACGAGTCCGACTACCAGTGTTAGAAAAGAAATCCAATTACCGTATGTTACCGAATAGAAGCAACCAAAATGTTGCAAAAAAAATGAGAATTTTTTCGAGTCAAAGTGAAGGGATTGCTTCTATTCGAGTCCAATTTTATTAGTATAACAACCTTAGTCAAATTTTTGGCTCCAAAGTCTGGGGGTTGCTTTTATTCGGTGGTTGCTTCTAATCGGTAACATACGGTAACAAAAAAAATGGTTTGCGAAAATTTAGTGCCGTAACTGATCTTAACGTCAATTGGACGTAACTCAATGACGTGACGATACGTCAAATACCATAACAACTACCATTTGCTGAACACCTGACGTGTGCTGTAGCGCCTGACGTATGCCGTAATATTGACACGCGATGTAAAATTTGACTCATTGTCCGGAGCGGAGTGGAGGACTTACTGTCCAGACCTCCGTCACGGGCGTCCCTGTAAAAAATATAGATATTTAATTTACCTGGGGTATTTTGTATTATTCATTAACATAAGAATTAAATTCATATTCGCCATGCAGATTTTTTTTATACAAACAGAATGTTTATTTTTTCTGTACATAACAATAACTAAATAAATAAATAATAAATATATTTTAACGCGAAGAAATAATCGTTAAAAAGAGAATATAAAAAGAGAATACAATATAAACATTAATATCTAATACAGTATATTATGACTGAATTCCTTCTGGAAACGTATGCAAAAATTACATAGTCTTAATTAAAATAATGAAATTCAAAGTAAAATTAATAATAGAAAAGAGTATAAAAATCTAAGCTCCGGACTTCAACGGTTCCCGTTTCCTAGTGCTATGCCATAACATTTGATGTGTGTCGTGACATTTAGCTTGTGCCGTAACATTTGGCTCGTGTCGTGACATTTGATTTGTGCCATAATTGGGCTGGAGCAGAGGGGAGTGGAGTGGAGACCTTCGAGCCATATTCAATAGTACTTTGTCATATAATAGGTTATAAAATTGGGGAAAGTACATGCTAACAACAGAGATTAACTGAAGAACAGTGATGACTTTTTTATAGCATGAATTAAATAATTGGTTTTTTTTTATGTGACTTTATGAATTATTTATGCTTGTTCGTATGCAAACTAATATAATTTATAAAAGAAGTGGATTTTTATTATATTATTTTGATGATATTAGATAAGCTGTAGTACTAACTTTGCAATGTTTTACCTAATGATTAATGATCTAGTCTTATAAAACATCTCCATTTTATTACCAGTATTTAGTGTGTGCTATAACATTTTGATATATAATGCAAATAATAAAATTACTATGAATATCGGCAAACAGGTAGTAAGCAAGTATAAAATTTTGTAAGAGTTTTCGATTGTGATATATAATGACCAATTGAATATTATAATACAAAAACGATGTAGTTAACAATCTTTAAATAATAAGGATAGATTTCGTGGTTACAATTGTAATGTGAGGACCTTTGATCTTGAATAGTTGCTTAGATGTGCGGCTGTTATAACAGTTATTAGTGGCACATATACATATAAGTTTTAGTTAATATTATTCGGTTTTATCACTTTACCAATCCTCATTAAATGCTTGATTCCTACCATATAAAATGTACTATATATGTAATTATTATCATTGTTCTTGTTATAAGTTATTAGGTTAAGGTCTGATTAGAGCAAACGAATCTATTTTGTCTTTTTTTAATATGTATTAAAAACTTAGCACTGTAACTATTTGTTCTGCAGTATTGCTATAACTTGTTGAATTCTTATAACTTTTTATACAGTATTTCCTTAGCCTGTTGTAGTGTCGTAATCTGTTGTTCTGCCATAACCTGTTGTATTTCGTATTCGGTTGTATTGTACAGCAAATTTTAGTTATTATGACTTATGCATTTTTACATTGATGTACCTATTAAATTAAAGTTATACATCATTATGGTACTTTTGACAAGGAGTTTCACAGATTAGTATGGTATAGGTGAGCAGATCAGTATGGTACAGGCCGAAATTAAACACCATACCATACTGATTAGCTATAATTCCTAACCTTAATGCTAATATATATAATGATAATATCAGATTAGTATGGTATGGATTCTAAAATTTGATCTTTACTATATAAAATTAGCCTGTACTATACTGATTTGCTTACCTATACTATACTGATCTGTGAAACCTCATATATGTATAGAATTACTTTACAGAAACTTGTAAAAAATTATTATTGGATTTATGACTAGCAAATAATGTTTTTAAAATATAATTAAAATATTTTTTTAGAAAATTAGTTTATTATAGGTTTATAACTAATAGTTATTATGTTATAATAATGTTTTTTTAAAAAACATTATTATAATATTATCAATTTCACACAGTCACTCTTTCTGATGATCACTTGATCAACAACAATTTACCAAACTACAGTCAGCGATATAGGAAAGTAATATAGTAAATACAACAATATTCTTGATTTTGCACTAAGCAAATTTGTTGTTAACAAAGCCTATAATATATGAAACACTGAGGAGCAGATGTATAAGAATATTAGGCAGGTTTGTGCCTTGGGTCAAGTTTTTTTTTTCTTGATGGACTCACTTATATATTCAGCATTCAAACTAGAAGGTTTATTCTAGGAACAAGTAGAGCAAAGTTTTTAGGTAAGAATATCAAGTAGATACTTGGAAACTAGACTATACAACTATAAAACTTACAAAAAAAACTTCATATACTTTCATTGACCCTTCACTTTTTTTTCAGAAAAAATTTTGTAAAAAAGTGGGCATTTTAGCTTATCCCCTATAAAAGATCGATATATTGTTTACTTACCAAATCGGTTAGCATTGTTTATTCTAAAACCTGTCACAACAAATACATAGATATATTTGGAACATGAATATGTAGATTACGTGCCTCAGAAGTGACAACTCAAACAAATAATGCTTTGAGACTAATAGTGCAAATTCTGACTTCTCTATAGTACTGGTTGTAGGAGTCAATTTTTTGATAAGCTTTTGTGAGCTAGATCCTCAATAAGATGTCAGTATCAAAGAGGCTGATTTTTTTCTTTTAGATTTTTTGTTTAAATATACTAATTAGATGAATTAAAGTAAAGACTAGTTTAGATAGTAGTATATAATTTTACAAAGTCTGATATAGGCTTATAATTGTGACTATCTGATGTAAATATATCTCATATTTTTCTTTTTTTTATTTTTTTCTTTACCTTTTTCTTTTCTTGTTTATATCTTTTATCATATTCTCTTATACCTCTGTGTTTTTTTATATAGTTTTTTCTTTTTCTTTTCACTTCTCTACAAAAGATATCATCAGATTGACAATATTCTATTGTAAGGCAGTGGATTGAACAAGCCCTCCAGTTAGAGTATTATCTTATTGGTTTTACCTTGCTGGTATGGCAGATCACTAATAGGCACTTTGGTAACTACCGGTTAGTTATGAAGTAGCTGTAGGATGTTAGGATCACAGCTTTAATATTATAGCATTATATTTGTAATCTTCTATAAGATTGAGGCTTTATTAAACATCAATTACTAGCATGATTTTGTCTAAGTGAAAAAAAAAATTATTATAACATTATGATTATTAGTTATTAACTAGTTAAAAACTAGTTATTAACTAATTATTATAATATTTTTTAAAAATATTATTATAACATTATAATAATTAGTTATTAACTAGTTTTTAACTAGTCATTAATTAATAATCATAATGTTATAATAATATTTTTTAGAAAAACATTATTATAACATAATAACTACTATAGTTGCTATCACAAAAAGCCATCAACTTTTAATTATGAAATTTTTAATCTTTTATAATTTTTTTAAAATAAAATAAAATAAAATTGATTAAACTATTAAATCTACAAATAAAATTTTAGTATCTTTTATTTTAAGAAGTTTATATTAATTTAAAATTATATATAGTTTAAAAATTTAGCACTTAAAGAGTGTAGCAACTTAGTATAGTTGGTAAGTTATTACACTTCTAAGTAGCAGAACAAAAGCTTAAATTTCACCATTAACAAAATTTAAATTTATGGAAATGCATTTAAAAGATTATATCCTAATTAGCTCAATACCTGTAACAGGATTATACCAGTATTGTCATACTGAGAGGTAGTGAAAATACTATATAATGTATAAGTTGCATGATAGTGAAGCTATTGGGTAAAACCAGCAAATTGAGATACAGAAGCCTGCTTGACAAGATCCAAATAGAGAGGTAGTACAGATTTTTGATAATATTATTTAATAATCTAAAAAGGAAAAACCAAACAGCAGGAAAATAGAAAACTAAACGGGACCAAAGTGTTTGGCAAGATATTCCACCAACTAGGCCATCAGA